CAGTGTGACACCCCCACACTTCCTTACACCCTGTCTACCTGCTTGCAGAGATCACTGTACTTTCTCAATCGTTGTCCATATCTTTTCCAAAAAGATTCCTCAATGCTTTTCTTTCCAAAAGGGAAAAAAAAAGGAAAAAAAAAACAATGCCAACAGCCCAGCGTCCGTGAGCAACCCAACAGTAACAAAGCATGTGTTCGGGATGGAGGAAGGTAAGGCCACACCTTTCCATTTGCCGCTTGCTCCTAGGGCTGGGCGGCCGGGATGACTCGAAGGGGGGAACGTGTGTGCACCCCTCCTCCACTTCCACACACGCTCGCTGTTCTGTCTCAGTGAGAAGAAAAGGGGTTTGACAGAAGTGGCCAGGACCAGCCAGCCTGGTTCTTTTACTAGTAGTTCATGCTGAAGAAGCCCTCAGCCCCGCCCTTACCACATCATTCATTCACTCATTCATTCAGGAAATGTTTTTCAAGCACCAGCCATTTTCCAGGCCCTGTGGTTAGCACTGGGGGTACAGAGATAAGGCACAGAACAAGCCCTCGAGGGGCTCTCCACCCGGATGGGGACGCACACACGAGCAGACAGACGGTGCACAGCGTATTAGAGGGTCTGGGGCAAGAGTCAGTACAGAATGCAGTAGGGCCTGGCCAGCTCTGCCAGGGCAACAGGACAGGCTCACAGAGGAGTGAACACTTGTGCTAAGCTTTGGAAGATGAGTAGGCGTTCTGGGGGCCAAGGAAGACGGAGAAAGACTTTTCATTCAGAGGGAGTGTCATGAGCATAGGCCTAGAAGCCTAAAAAGCAGCCTGGAGAGATTTCAGAGCTGTATAAGTTCATTACTTTGGTTCCTCAAATTCAATGACAAGTGACACTCATGAGGCGGGGCCTGGGAGCAGGTCACGGAAGGCCATCTTATAGTGCTGAGGAATTCAGACCTTCTCCTGAGGACTGCTAGGAGTCCGTGATGGTTTTTAAGCAGAGGAAAGCCAAGATGAGGTTTGTGCTGTCGACAGACAGCTTCGGCTGTGGTGTGGGGGTGGGTTGGAGAGGAGGGGACCTAGAGGTCAGGAGGTCAATGGGAAGCTCCTGAAGTTACCTAGGTGGGAAGTGCAGGCCTAACTAGGCAGCGGCAGAGGGAACGGAGAGGGGGGAAGAGGCGAGGGGAGAGCCTGGTCACCCTGGGATGTGGGGGCAAAGGAGAAGCCTGTCCACTTCCACCTTATCCAGGCCTCATTTGGCGAAGAGAAATGATGAGTAAGGCCGCTCAGGTTATACCTGGCCCCCAAGAGCAGCAAACTCATCTTGTCCCTGCACTGTCACATGACGGGATGAGGCGCGTCCACTCCGACTCGTGCGGTGGGGTCATGAGGCTGCTGAGGGGGTTGCTGTGGGCCTGCGCCAAGGGGCAGTGGTGGGGGTGCCGCGCTTGGTCCTGGGCTCCGGTCTCCTCAGCTTCTTTGGCCGTGTGGATGTGTCGGCACTTTGCATCAAGAGCGTTGGGCCTGTCCTCCAGCTCTGGAAAGGGGGCCACCCTTCCCCATTCTAGTGGCCTTTCCTGCTCCTTCATCTGGGGCTTGCCTCCTTGGGCCTGGTGTCCAGATCCTAAGGAAGCCCCTGCTTTTCTTGCTCCTGCCGGTGCTCCTCTCTCCTGCCTCCTGGCCCTGCTCTCAGCGCCCCCTAGTGCCGGGACAGCCGCTCACGAAGGCACCGGTCTCTCTGCAATCAAAGGGGGCCTCAGAGATCTCTCACAAACTCCTCCGCTTGCTTGTGGGGACAGAAAGGACTGGAGAAAGCTTTCTTGAAGCTTCCATATAGAACTCCCAGGGTCTATTCTTTGCTTTCCCGTCCTCTCCCTTTCTTGGCACAAGGGCCTATCCTCCCAAATTAGGGTGACTGAAGAAGGAGCAAGGAAGAAGAGAGCCCACACAGTAATCTTGTTTTCTGTCCATCTCTAGATAACTCTTACTTATCTCAGGATCGGGCCCAACAGGACAGCCAGTGTCTGTTGGAGATCAGGGACCATTATCAGGCCCGCAGCCTCTGTCCACAGCCCCCTCCTTCCACGACCCCATCAGCTGAGAGGTTCTGGTGTCTTCCAGACATAGCTGGTGCAGCCCAAGGGCCCCTCATATCTGGGCCCACGTGCCTGCTCGGAAGGAGGGCAGCGCAGACTCCCCCACCCCATTCTGGGCTGCTGCTACCAGACATCCTCAGTGCTTTGGGGTGGCCTGCAGGGAATGGGGTCAGTGGTTCGTTCCTGGCTAGCTGGTAATGGCCAGCCCAGGAGTAAAGGCCATGAACCCATTCCTTAACCAAAGCCAGCTGTACTGCCTGTGTATGGTGGCAGGGGGCCTGGGAGTGGGTGCAGGCTGGAAATAAAGATCTCAAACCAGACCAGATAAATGGAACATTCGAACACACCTTGCTGTTTCAAATGACTGCTTTGAGGTCCTGAGCTCTTTAGGTGGACAAGCAACACCCCCTCAGTCCAAGGCAGGCATACCCTTGAGAAGGAGAGGTTGCAGGTTACCATATCTTGGCTTGGGGCAGACTAGAGTTTTGCCCAGGGATGTGTGTGCCCTCATCCCAGAGCCTACTCTAAGGGACTGGAAGGGGATACAAACTGGCCACTTTCAGAAAGCCAGGAAGTAATTCCTTTTTTCTTCTATTCAGCATGCAAGGAAGTCTATTCCCAGCCCACCTACCCCAGTACCCGTTTTGGGTCAAGAGGTGGTTGGGCAATTAAGTCAGGTGCCCACAGCTGAAGGAGATGGGGCCAGTTGCCATATCCAAGATGGAAGCCTGGCTGTGCTGGGCTGAGCCAGGGAACGAGTAGAGGAGAGAGGAGAAAGCAGAGTCAACCTGCTTTCCAGGTTGACTCTGAGTATATACATTCTGAGGGGCCTCCGAGAGACTCGTTGGCTAAGAAGAAGGAGGAAAAGAGGCACTCCAGGCAAGCAGGGACCCTCTCAAACCAGGCAGTCCCTCCTGCAGGGTAACAGGACGCTTTCCAGGAGGTGCCAAAGATGAACCCGGGCCTGGCCAGCAGGCACATTGTGTGGGTGAGAATGAGTGGCTCAGCCCAGGTGGAGGCTCTGAGGCAGGTGGGGCAGGGGAGGAGAGAAAGGGACAGATCAGGCAGGGAAGCTGTGGTCCTTCCCGTGTCCTGGCATCTCCCCGCCTGCCCAACCTGAAGATCCAGGACAGGAGCCACTCATGGAATTGGGGGAGCATGCTGGCTGTGCATGAGTATGTGTGCATGCGTATGTGTGCAGGCGTGGGCACATGCCCACAGAATGGTCCAGACACATCATCAGGGTGACCATTATTTCTGGCCAAAGGGGTTCCCACAATGAGGGAACGTGAGCCTCCCTCCTCCGCTGAGCCTCCCCGTGACCCGAGCTGCCGCCTGTCCCATCTGGGGAGCACGTGGGGATCCCCCTGCGGAAGGATGTAAATGGACCCAGCTGGGTGCCTCCAAGCAGGCAGCCCAGCCCAAGGTGTGCCCCCATCCCCCAGACTGCACTCTGACCAGGCCTGGCCTTCTCTGTCTTGCAGAACTACAGCGAGAGGGAAGCATCGAGACTCTGAGTAACAGCTCAGGTTCCACCAGCGGCAGCATCCCAAGAAACTTTGATGGCTACCGATCTCCGCTGCCCACCAATGAGAGTCAGCCCCTCAGCCTCTTCCCTACCAGCTTCCCATAGGTACCAGCTGCCTGCTTCTGACTGGTCGGCCCACTCACCTGCTGGGCAGGGAGGGGGAGAAGCCCCCCATCCTGCCCTCCTCTTCAGTCTCTGCTCCTCTTTTACCAACCACCTTCCCCAAGCTTAGCAACAACAGCCAACCAGCCTCCCTGGATTGAGAAGAGACACTTCTCCGAAGCACCTCAGCGCACTCTGACCTCTGCCCCCCGTCAGCAGGGCTGTGGCTGAGAGCGACTCTGCAGACTCTCTGTCCCCTCCTCTGTTTGCACATGACATCCTGCGTTGGATCCGCTTTTGTATTTTCTAACCATACCACAGGGGACCTGGGTGGGGAGAGAGTGGATGGCCTGGCCAGGCATTTTGACCCTGAGTGGACAGCCCAGCCACTCCTGGCTGTCGCACACACTGCCCAACTTCCCTTGGTCAACCCCCCCTATGAAATGGGGTAAACTGAGGCCCGGAGTATTAGGGACAGAGAAAGAGGAGAAGCCCCCTTCCTCTTTTCTTTCCCCTTTGGCTCACGGAAAAGATTTGTCTTCCTTGTCTGTAAGCCCTTTTACCCTGGTCCTGTACTGTTCAGTGAAGGAAACTGTGGTTACCAAGGCCCTGTCAAAAAGTGCACGTCTTGTCCAATAAATCACGCTGCAATTGGTGTCCATCCCTAAGTTGCTGGGGTCAGGGTCCTCTCCAAGTGCCGAGCAGAGTTCTCTGGGCCTGACCATGTGTCCCTGCTCCCGATACCCCCCACCCTGACACGTGCAACGGAGCAGGAGTCAGGGGAGAGTATGGGAAGGAGAAGGAGGATGTTTGCTCTGGAATTTGGGTGGAGCCTGATTTAATCCATTCTCCAACCTACTTGCCTGTTACCAACGCCAATGAGCTCTGGGGCCACCACAGGCCCAACCCTCCCTGGCCGTGGCAGTCAGGGCCAGTCAGGTCCTTGTGCTGTTGGACTACTGTGGAAAGGACAGCCTGATGAATACTCTGGCCCTAGCTTCAGGGCTGGCACCTTGTGATTGCCTCTCTTTTTAAGCTCAATAGGTGGAAAGATGGTCAGGTGAAGGTGGGTCTCTCATGAAACCTGGCTGGAACCTTTGATGACAAGTTCTTGATTTTGTTCCCCTCTATCCTCCCAATTCTGGACCTAAAGTGAAGAGCAGGAAGGAGCCAAGAGTGGGGGGAGGGGGGCAGGGGTGTTGAGCAGAAAGGGGAATAATGCTAGCCCTAGTCCCCCGCTTCCCTGAGACCCCAGAGAGGCCTGGGAGAATGGAAGGAAACCCACTGAGCCAGGTGTGGTTTGGGGTGAAGTTTAATGTAACAGCCGCAGAAGAGCTGAGTTCACACAAAAACAGGCCTTCCCATCCAATCATGCAGCAGGAGCTGGGGCAGCTTCTGGGGCCCCTGCCCCCTTCACATGCACCCCATCCAACCCTGGCACCTGAGTTGAGACCTGATTTAATCTTCAGTTCCCTTCACCTGGTCAGGTGGGCGTATTAGGAGAAGGGGGACCGGAATCATACTAGGTTCTGTAGGCTGAGTAGATGGCCCTGCATAGGGTGGCTGAAGCCAGTCCCTCCTGCCTGGGAACCTGCAGGGTGAGAAATCACATGGAAGTGAGGCATGCCAGAAGGTCAGGAGGCCTGAGTACTACCAGTGGGGGCTGCCAGACAAGCAGCAGCGTTTCCCCATTTCCGCTGAATTGGAGACATTGATGTGCTGGGCACAGCCTCCACCCCCAGCCAAAGCACTGTTTCGGTCAAAAGGGGACAGGGACAAAAGGGTGCCACGAGGGCTGCCTGTGTGCACTGCCCATGGCATGGCTTCCTGGGGATGAGTCCAGAGCTCTAGGAAGAGTGAGCCCCTCTGAACCCACCCTCGGGCACGTGGATGAGGCAAAGATGGAGAGCCAGGAGTTCTCTCCAATAACGAGGGAACCGGCTAGCAGCTTAGAGTCAAGAGTCCTCCCTGGCTCAACCCTTTCCCTCCAGGGGGTGCAAAACAGCTGTGGCCTCCTCCAGTAAGGGAAAGTGGTGGGTGTAGGGCTGGACTTGCCAGCTGAGCTTGCAGGACAATCTGGTTATTCATCTGCTCACAGCCAGGGCAACTCTTTGAGTATGTGGGGGGAGGGGGAGGATAAGAGAGGCCAGATAAGCTGGCCCCATGGCGGCTGCCACTGGAGCTCAGGTTATCAGAGAGGCCTTGGGCCTGGCCCCTGGCTAATTGGGGCGGTTATAGACCCTGCCACAGACTGTAATCAGCTGGAAGTGAGAGCTGGGCCCCAAGGTGGGGACCTTACTGCCCAGTGGCCCTGGAACTGCCAGTCTCCTATCCTCTAGAGATAACACCCAGGGCAATCTCTTCCTCACCCCCAGCAGACCTCCATGATTGCATCACTTAGGACGCCATCAGAACATGCATCTAATTGTGGCCTGACCCTGTGACCTTGAGATAGCCATGAGACCTCCCTGATTCTCACAGCACTACCTGCTCAACAGGCAAATTAACTATGGACTTGCACTCAATTTGATGAAGGAAAAAATATCTTCAAGGTTTGCGAGGAGGCAGATAGGAGCTGGGGTGGTAGCTCAAGGAGGGAGGGTACTCTCTGGGATTGATTTGAAAAAGGGCCAAGCGGTCCCAAGGCAAATTCAGATGCACAAACCCTAGTGGCAGCTCTTCTGGAAGCAAGCAGAGGTCAGAGCAGGCAGCTGCCAGTCTGGGATTGGGAATGGTTTCTCAGTGCTGATTGTTCTGATCTTCCCAGATCAGAGAATCTCTCCACTAGAAGGTACCTAAGAGAGCACTGTTCGGTCCTAATTTTTCAGAGAAGACTATGCCCCAGAAAAGGCCAGGGCCTTGCCCACAGTCACGAAGTCACACAGCTAATCTGCTGACGCCTATCTGCTCCTTGCTGCCTCACGTGCCCTGGCTGGTTCCCTTTTAAAGCCCGATTCTGCGCTGACCTGCCTTTCCTGTGCCCCCACAATCCAAGAATCCACTCACCCCCATCCCTTAAGAACGTCCAGGTCCTGTCTCTGACTGACACTGAAGCTGTTCCCTTGTCCCTCTGTAACTGGGAAGGCAGCCCCCTCCTGCAGACCTAAAGCTGGAAACTCTAGGAACAAAGGGAGAGAGCATCTTCTATGTCTTGTATTCAAAGCAAGAGGCCAGCCTGAGGGTGGGGACTTGGGAGTCTCAGTGTTGTTGCCTTGCTGTAAGAACAGAGGTAGCTAGCTGGACAGCAATGACATCAGCACCTTCTAAGGGGTGGATTTGGCCTTGCTCTCTTCTAAGATCCCTGGGTCCCACCTCAGCTCTGCCACTGGTAGCTGTGTGGCCTCCGGTAAATTACTGCACTTCTAAGTTTCAGGGTCCTCGTCTGTATGGGAGGGGGCAGGGAGCCCGCCCTGCGGATAGGAGCCTTAAGGCTGAAGCGGTCAAAGAGGAAGCTGCAGGGCGAAAGGGCAAAAGGTTGGTACGAGGCCCGGAGGCTGATCGGACAGGCCAGGTAGCTCGACCGTGGGAAGACGGAGGGCGGGTGCGGCGCAGTTGGATCCCGGGTTGTGGTGCGCTGCCCGCGAAGCTGCTCCAGGGAATCCCGGCCCGCTCCCTGCGAAAGCGTTTCCGAAAGCGAATCTAGAGCCTAGGGAGAGCACCGTGCAGGCCAGCCCCGCCCTCTCTCGCAGGTGGGCTGGTCCTAGGGGTCCTTCCTGCGTTTTGTCCCCGCTCTCAAGCCGCATGTCAGCATTGTCTGTTCACACTGGCGCTGTCCCAGACACCCACACTCGTGATCTCACACCTGTGCAGGTCCACGCACACGCAGGTTTACAGATGTGCACCTCACTTTTGCTGATCCCCCAGGTCCCAACCGGACTGCTGCGACCCGCGGACCTTGTCTCCAGAGCAGCGAATAGTCTGGAGCTCCCAGGGTTACGGGATCCCCAAAACTCTGGGGAAGTCTTCCAAAGTCCAGCAGGGACACATCCTCCGTTGCTGACTCAGGTGGAGAGCAATGCCCCTCGAGGGCCAGGTCTGTCCCGGGCCAGAACGGCCAGGCTGGGGTCTCGCCTTCACATCAGCCTAGAAGACTGGGGACTGGGCTACACAGGCCGTGGCTGTCCAGGCACTAACCCGGACCTAACCAGAAGAAGTGGCCCCGCCGCTCTTTCCGGCTCAAGGCCGGGCCACAAAGCGGTCAGGAAAAGGTCGTGCCTTCTGCGGTCCCCGCGCCTCCCGCGCCAACCCAGCCACTTGCCCCTACCCTGCACGGGGTAATTGGGTTGGGAAGGAGGCGACGGGCGGGCGGCGATTCCAGAGAGACTACGCGCCTGTCAGCCGCAATTTGTCTAACTGGACCGGACAGGCCGGGCCGCTGCGGGCCGGGGTCATCGAGGCCGCGGCCCCCACCCCAGCCAGACCCGGGACCGCGGGGGAGCCGGGCTCCGCCGCTAAACGGGGCTGGCTGGCTGGCGCCAAGGCTCCGGGAGGCGCGGGTCCGGCAGGGAAGCCAGGAATGGGAAGCAACTGTCTTTCCGCCGTAGTCTCCCACCCTCCCTCCCTACACACACACACACACACACACACACACACACACACACACACACACACACACACACCACGCCAAGACTCGGACGGAAGCGCCCAGTGTCACCCTCCACTGCTGGTCACATGTATAGGGCCACACACGCCACCCGAGCTTAGTCAGGGCACACTCATATAGGACTATGCACTTAGTACCAGTCTCATGCCAGCACCCCAGACGCACGTCCCCTCTGCCCCACGACCATACATCCCCAAACCTCCATGCAGGCTCACGCAGATCCACGCTCAGTCACACAGACCAAAGACCCAGGCAGGGTCCAACCGGGGAAGGTCCCAGCAGTGGCCCTTGACCCCGCAAAAGGTATAGGGCCAAAGACCGACCGGCAGCCCAGCCAGGCTCCGAACCGCGGCACCACCCCGCCCATGCCCGTGCCGGATTTCCTTATTGCGGGAAGCGCGGAACATACTGAGCGCGTGCAATGGACCGGGGGCCGGGAGGCCCGCGCCCTCCCGACGCCGCGGCCCAGGAGGGCCTGGGAGAGGGAGGGGCGGCTGTGCGCGCGTCCCCCGCCCGTCTGCTGGGCCGGGCCGATGCGAAGTGACAGGGGCCGGAGCTTTGTTGTGGAGCCTCGGCCGCCTGGCGCCAGCTGCCCCCGCCCGTGCCCTCCCCCTCCAGCCCTGGGCCGCTCGCAAGGCGCCCCCCGGGGCCTCTTAAAGAGACACGCACTCTCAGCCCCGCGGACCCCCCAGAGGCGCCTGTTCCGGGGAAGGGGAAGAGGGATAGACCCAGGTGGGGGAGGGGCCGACCAGGAGCTAGGCGTCTCACGGCGCCGCTCTGGGGCTGCCTGGCCCTTTCCCGCGCGGGTTTTCGATGAGCTAAGGATATTCCTCGCTGAAGAGTTTGGCTGGGGGGTACATTCAGAATTTTGAGAGTGGCTGTTGTAGGAGGACCTCAGGTTGGTTGCCAGGCGATGGGACAGGGCAGACGGTGGCGACCCAGCCTAGAAAGAGCTTGTGGCCGCCGGAGGGCAGGTCCGTAGCCCAGTTCCTGTGGCCAGGTGGGTTTGTGGTCCCCAAATGCAGCCGCTGCACCGTCGCCACCCGGTTTCTTGGCCTAACAACGCAGGCCAGCATTTATCAAATTTTCTGGGACTTGAACCCCTGGACCAGCTACGGACCTTCCGTAGGAAAATGTCCAAATTGCACACACTTAGGTATACACCCATTCTTACAAGTACGAAAGTACGTGTACACACACGACTTTGCAAATGTATTCATGGATTTCCAGGCCCATGTCCCGATTCTCAGCTAAGGAGCGCTGCCCTAGCTATTATCTGGTCACCTCATCGACTGCACAAACCTGTCCACACACGTCCCTCCCTGAGGGGCCACATCCCGCTTAAGACGGAGCCAGCAGAACTTTGCCTGTGCGAAGCTGCAACGGATCCTACCCCGGCTGCGTAGACTGCACAGCGCGGAGTTGAAGATTCGTTCTAGACAGGAAGCACTAAATGAGGAGCAACCCAGCCAAGAGCAAGGTCGTGAAGAAAAACCCTGTGGGGGAGGCGCCCATTTGAGTGCCGGGTAGAGGAGTTACAAGAGCGCTGTGGTCGGATAGGAAAAATAGAAAAAAGGTCGCGGAGGCCAAACCGCTCCGGCCAGTCCCGAACTGCCCCGGGCGATCAGGCTTTACATGCCAAGTCAGAGTGTGCAGTGACAAGATGCCCTGAGACTGGATGTGCGCAGCGATGGGCAGGGTTGCCTAGGTCACTGTTGGACGTGGGCTGTACGCTCCCACCACGCGGGCACAAGGCCCGCGCCCGCCAAACTCACCCGAACTTGTATTGGTTTTGCGGACAGGAGTGTCACCCATGTCAAGCGCGTGGTCCGTCTTGTCCTTTGGAACGCGACCGCCAGGAATCAATCTGAGTGTTGGCGCCCGAGCCCGATTCAAGGCAGGTGTGTGGTCGCTTCACTTTCTTGGAGCACGCCTTAAGTTGCCGCCCCCGCGGAGCACAGGGCACCACAACACTGGGCGCAACACACACACACACACACACACACACACACACACACACNACACACACACACACACACACACACACACACACACACACACACACCACGGGTGGGAGGGGGATACTGGGGCTGCAGGAGAACGAAGACTGCGAAGAGTGGGGAAGAGTGGGTGGGGGGTTTCAACCACAGGTGCGCACAAACATTCCGACCCCCACACTCGTTACTTGGCACTATTAAACTTGGGAGGTGTGCGCTTGAGAGAGTCGGAAACTCTAGGAAAGTGGCACAGAGTGGAGAGAGGATGCCGGTGTTTAGGATGAGAGAGACTTGTGTCTCCGGTACCGGATGCGGCGAAAATTCGTTGGGCTGCAGGTCAAGAATCTGGGGACCGGGATCGGCCGGTAAGGTGCCGCCCTGTGCTCGGTGGAAGGTACACTCCCTTCCTAGCCAAGAGGATTCGCTCTCCTGGCCATCCGAGGGCTCAGGGCTGTGTCGACGCAGACAGATATTGGGCTGAGTCCAGAACTTGCCCGGAACTCCAGGTTCCTCCTGAGTCTTCCTGTGAGGGAATGCACAGGCTGGGGGGTCCCCGCGTTTCCCGAGTGCAAGGCCGCTTACCACTCCCACCCACGCCGGCTCTGCCACCGCTCCACTCACCAGCTCCCGCCACCTGGGCTCCGCTCCGCGACCTCCGCCGCCCGCGCCTCCCGATTCGCCCGCCCACCGGCCTCTCTTTCCAGCACCCGCAGCCTCCCTCCGGAGTGCAGGGGCCCCGGGCAGCGCTGCAGCCGGGAGCGGGGTCGAAGGCCAAGCTGGGGCGCGGGCCAGAGCGGCCAGGCTGCCGTGCGCGGGAGAAGGAGGGCGCCCCCTCTCCTCTCGGGGCCGTGTCAATGCTTTGCACTAGGGGCCGTCGTGTGGCTGGGGTCCTTCCCCGGGGCGCTGAGACCCGGGCGCCCCCCGCCTCAGGCCCTTTCGGCGGGTAGTGTCGGCCCACCGCGTTTTCCCGACCCAGCACCGCAGCCTCAGGCGCGGGCGCGAGGTGGGGGCCGGGGCAGGGGGAGGGGTCTCAAGGCCCGCTGGTCCGTCATTGGTTAATATTTTATTCTGTTGACATGTTTTCTTACTGCTGAGGCTTCCGACACCTTCTCCCCGGCCCCCCCTCCCGGCCAGAGCTTGGCCGGAGCTGTCAAAACCCCGCCCCCGGAGACCCACAATTGGTCCAAAAAGCGTAAAATCAGCAATCAAGGGGGGCCTGGCTCGTTAGCGCAGGGGATCCGAGCAGGGCAGGACATGTGAGATAGTCACAGTTTTCCAGAGATCACGACAAGATCTAACCAGTCGCGCGTGGTCCCCGGCGCCGGAGCGGGCCAGCCCAGCCCAGCCCAGCCCCGCGCAGAGCCCCCGCCACCCCCGCGCTTAGAGCCCCGCGCCCCTCGCCGTGAGCCGGACGGGGAGCCGGGAGGAGCTGCCGCTGCGCTTGCGACCCGGGCCGCCCTTCCTCCGCGCGCGCTGCCGCCCGGGCCGGGGGTCCGAGCCGCGCGCCCCCGGCCCCGGCCCCCGGGCGCCTGGGCCGGATGTCCCGATGAGAGAGCCGGCGCTGGCGGCCAGCGCCATGGCTTACCATCCGTTCCACGCGCCACGGCCGGCCGACTTCCCCATGTCCGCTTTCCTGGCGGCGGCGCAGCCCTCCTTCTTCCCGGCGCTCGCACTGCCGCCCGGCGCGTTGGCCAAGCCACTGCCGGACCCGGGCCTGGCGGGGGCTGCGGCCGCGGCGGCGGCAGCAGCCGCGGCAGCCGAGGCAGGGCTGCACGTCTCGGCACTCGGCCCGCACCCTCCCGCCGCGCATCTGCGCTCGCTTAAGAGCCTGGAGCCCGAGGACGAGGTGGAGGACGACCCCAAGGTGACGCTGGAGGCCAAGGAGCTATGGGACCAGTTCCACAAGCTGGGCACCGAAATGGTCATCACGAAGTCCGGGAGGTAGGACGGTCGACTGGCCGGAGGGCTCGCTGGCGGGCGGGCTGCGGGACCCGACAGCACCCACCAGCGCCGAGTCCGCGGCTCGCGGCTCCCAGTTCCGGCCCGGAGCCACGCTTAGCTTCCACAGACAACCAAATGACTTTTCAAATTTGGCACCGAGAGATTTTTTAAAAACCTAAAACATCAAAATCTCCCGAATGAAGTAAAACGAAAACATGCTTTTAAAGAATAGTTCTAGCCGTTCTGAATCCCAAAGGCGAGGAGGCCCCGCCTGGTCTCGAGGTCTGTGCTGCAACTTCTTACCCTCGCGGCCTTGCTTTTCCTGCCTCCGGGTCTGGCTTGGTGCTCAGGGGAGATGCAGCGTCTCCCGGATCCTTCTCCGACCCGGGAGCCCAGAATGGGACTCGCACCCTGCTAGACCCAGGCTGGCCCGCTGGTTCCTGCCGGTCGCTCGGTTCCTGGCAGCGAGCGTGGAGCCGGCCCAGCTACAGCCCGACCCGTTTAGGAGCCTCCTCCGGGCCTAGGAGCAAGGAGCCCCGAACACACACGCCGCCCCAGGCCTTAAAGCCAGAAGGTTTTTTATAAAACCACAGCCCCCAACCCCTCCACACTTTGACTCAGCCACCGAGAATCCAGGCCTCAGGCTCACCCTCTTCACCCGAACTTCAGGGTCAGCGTCCTTGTCCAGCACTGTAACCCAGTTCCTCAAACATCCTCTGAATTTATTTCTGGGAGCTTCATGCCCAAATGGGTAAATCCCCTAAACGAATTTCGAGGAGATTCGAGAGAAGTGAGTGTACTTCTAGAGGGCTTTGATTTCTTTCCTGGACATGGGCTTTCATCTCAGACGAGGGCTAAAAAGGGTCACCAGATCTGAGCATAGGGCCAATCGGAATCCTTATAATAAGAGAGGGTCTGACAGACAGAAATGGGATCTCCCACGAGTAACAAACACAGGTTGGGTCTCCCAGGAAGTAAACAGGGGACAGAACAGTGACATCAGGGGAAAACAGATGCAGAAGCCCCAGGCAGTGGTGTGTGCTGGGGGAGAGGAGTCCTCCGACATAGAGCTGGGTCCCATGGCGTCTTCCACTTTCCCTTCTCGCAGGCGGATGTTTCCTCCCTTCAAGGTGCGAGTCAGCGGCCTGGACAAGAAGGCCAAATACATCCTGCTGATGGACATTGTGGCCGCTGATGATTGCCGATATAAATTCCACAACTCACGCTGGATGGTGGCTGGCAAGGCTGACCCAGAGATGCCCAAACGCATGTACATCCACCCGGACAGCCCGGCCACGGGAGAGCAGTGGATGGCCAAGCCGGTGGCCTTCCACAAGCTGAAGCTGACCAACAACATCTCGGACAAGCACGGCTTCGTGAGTGCGGGCTGGGCCTGGGGCTGGGGGTGGGAGTCCCGCACCTGGCACTGCATCCCCCGGTGGGAGAGTGAGGCAGGTTTCCCCAGAGCGGAGTGCTGGATGAACCCCCAGAGTGCCCCTGCCCAGGTCACTGCCCTGTGGCCTATGCCAGCTGGGCACCAGCCCAGAGAGCTCTGCTCTGCAAGCCTGGGGAATGGCGGGGTCCCGGCTAGTAAGTTCAGGCTGCTCACAATCTCGGCTTGGGTCAGGCGTTTGCAAAACCGTTCCTAGCATCCAGTGACAGGCAGGTGCCCCTGGGACCCCATTGTGCGGCCACTGGTCCTTAGGTGCTGAGCTTAGAGAACCTACCCACTACCTCAGCTTGTCCTTACCCTTCCCCAAGACCCGTGTCCCCATCCCTCTTCCCAAACGATGAAATTTAAAAATTAAATCAGCACCCTCCACATCTTTTCTGAGAACCCCTTCTCTCCTCCCACAGACATATGCCTGACCAGAAGGAGGGAATTGGGGGGTAATCTTGGTTTCCTCCTGAGCCCCAGCGAACGGGAGGGGGGAGTTCATGGGGCAAAAAGGACTGCCCATTCTGAGGTAGGGCAGTCAGTGAGCCCCCTGAAGGTCCCAATCTTATCTTTGTAGGGTTACTAGGGGCTTAGCAATTAGCCCAAGAGGAGAGGTTAACAGTGGAATTGTAGGGGGTTTATTTTGTTTTATTTCTGTTTTCAACTGGGGTAAATGTTTTTAAATGGAAATAGATTGTGATAAAGAAAATTGAGAGGAAAAAAATAGAAGAAAAAGAATTATAGGTGAGAAAAAGAGCAGGGAAGACAGGAGAAACATAGCAAAGGGTTGGGAATTAGGGAAGGCAGAGCTGTGACAGAGACAGATGGAAAGAGGCCGGATCCCCAGAGAGTAGAAATGCTTGGGTCAAAGGCTTGGGGGCTGCCGGCTGACCCGCACGCCCTCTCCGCAGACCATCCTGAACTCCATGCACAAGTACCAACCGCGCTTCCACATCGTGCGAGCCAACGACATCCTGAAGCTGCCCTACAGCACCTTCCGCACCTACGTGTTCCCGGAGACCGACTTCATCGCGGTCACTGCCTACCAGAACGACAAGGTGCGCTGGGCGGGCAGCGGGACTAGCCCCCGCACCGACGCCTCCACACACGTGCAGGCTCCAACCCTCCACTCACACATGCCTGCAGTCCCCCACCCACCCACCCCGCGCCCTCACAGCCCACTCCCAAGCACCAAGTCTCTCATCTGTAAGCGCAGCACCCACCGAAATCCCCCAAGGCTTCCTCCCAAGTCCGCGACACGAACACACACGCTCGCGGGGGCGCGCAACATCTGGGAGCTCGTTAGGGTGGGGATGTTTACTTAGCAATTAGCAGAGATTCCGGGCCCGCGCTGACATTTTTACATTTTATTCGTTTATTTCTTGGCTTAGGGATGGGAATTTAAATGAAGAGAGGGCGCCCAAGGCAATCTGCCCAGGCTTTCCCGATGCTAGGAACCCAGGGCCCAGTTTTCACTCTCCCTGAGGAGCCCAAGGCTGGGGCAGGCGACACAGCGCCCCAGTGCACCTCCTTCTGGGCCAGCCCAGGCCCCGGACCTCTTGGGAGATGCTTAGAGATTTTTCCTTGAAGCCAAAGGGTTTTTTTTCTGTCTGCTGCCCTTGTACACCCTCTCTCTAGAGGGGCAAAGCATCGCCCCCACTAGGCCTGTGCGTACCACTCTCCCGTGAATTTTGTGTCTGTATGAACCGATGTGTGCTCGCGGGTACACCATTTGGTGCACTATTTGGGGCGCCCTGGATACGTGTGGAGACGTGTTTATTCGTTTGTTTTGTGGGCACTTGTTTTATCTGTGTACTTGCGTGTGCACGGGCCCGTGAGTGTGATTTGCCTTTCATGTGTCTACGGACCTGCGTGTGCTCTGCTGTCTGTGCGTGCCTGCTCAGGTGCCGGGTTTGTTTAACTTCAGTGGCCGCCTGGGCCTGTGTGCATGCTTGGGCAGATTTCGACTCTGTGCACAGCTTTGAGCCTGTGTATGTAAGCTGAGTGATTCTGCCTCGAATAAAGATTTTGGAGGAGAAGAGACGCTGTCGCTTAATGCGAGACCCGCCCGCGGGCTCTCCTCGCCTTTGGGCTCGGTTCGGCCCATCCCAGGCGGGCGGGTACCAAGTAGACACTCGGATGCTCACCCCTGGGCGGGCAGCGGCTTACCTCGGGGTGCCTCAGGCCAGGCTGGATGAGCTGCATCCTGATCTGGCGCCGCCCCCTCGGTCCCCGCAGATCACACAGCTGAAGATAGACAACAACCCGTTTGCCAAGGGCTTCCGGGACACCGGGAACGGCAGGCGGGAGAAAAGGTGAGGGGTGCGCCGGACCACCCAGCGGCGGGTGCCTGAGGGAGCCGGACGTGGAAGTGGGTGCGCTCCCCTCTGACCCTCTCTCTCCCTCCGCTCACCCCTAGGAAGCAACTGACGCTGCCCTCTCTGCGCTTGTATGAAGAGCACTGCAAACCCGAGCGCGACGGCGCGGAGTCGGACGCCTCATCTTGTGACCCTCCTCCCGCGCGGGAACCGCCACCCTCCCCGGGGGCAGCGCCTAGTCCCTTGCGCCAGCACCGGACCAGAGGTGGGGTGTCGGTCGGTCGGACCGGGGGTGCGGGAAAGGGGATAGAGAAGGGTCTCCTGAGGACTCCGGGCTAGCTAGCTCTTTGCTCAGCGTCAGGCTAACCTTACGGCCTGGGGGAAGCGTCAGCAGTGTGTCTGGGATGGGGCTTCCAACCCGGGAATCCCCTGTAAGGGCGGTCCCTGGTAGCCAGAAGATCCGGCTGGACTCCGAGCTAGGTCCCTGGCACTGTGTGACTCTGGCAGTAAAGGAAACTCTACAGGGCTCAATTTCTCCCATTGTAAACAAGGGGGCTCG